GCCCGCGCGCGCGCCCGGGGGAAGCGCGCGCCCGTGCAATGCTCCGGGGGTGCAACGGGGCCGGGGGGCCCGGACGGGACTTGCAGCAATCCGGGGGGCCAACACCGGGGGCGGATGAGGGGACCAGGGGGTGGGAGGTGGGGGGAGTGGGCACGGAGGCGCGCATGCAGCTGCCTGCTGCCCCGGAGTGGGCAGCGGGCGCGGCGGCCCCAGCGACACGCGCGAGGGGCACGAGGGGCCGTCCGCCGGGCTGGGGGGCAGCGGGCGCTGGAGGGGTTGGTGCCAGGGGTCCCCGAGGCCTGGGGGACAAAGGGGGAGCGGCGCGTGCAGCCGGGAGGAGGGGGCGGGGCCGGGGCGCCGAGGCCCCGCCCCCTCCCCCTCCTCTCCTCTCGGCCCCAGAGATGCGGGGTCTGCCGAGAGGGAGGGGGCTCATGCGGGCCCGGGGGAGGGGTCGTGCGGCCCCTCCGGGCAGCCGAGGCCGCGGTAGGGGGGGCGCTCATAGAGGAAGAGGTAGGCCCCGAAGCCTGCTCTCTCTTCCTAGGGCCCAAGCGTCCTGGGCCCCCCAACTTCCTACCGGGCTGACCAGCCCTCCCGTTCCATGTCTCCCCTCTCAGGGGGAGGCCCCCGCAGAGATGGGGCCACTACTGTTGGAAAAGGAGCCTAGAGGAGCCCCCGAGAGAGGTAAGTGCTGTAAAAACAGCGTGATTGGACCTTCACCTCCCCCAACAGAAGATCTTGGATCCCTTGAGTCATTAGCCTCAAACTTTTTCTCTTCCTCTTTAGTTCTTGGCTCTTTGGGGGACACCTGTCATAATGAGGAGAGCCTGCCTAAGGCTGACCCCGAGCCCCTGGAGCCGGCTGGCCCCTCATCACCAGCCACTGTTACTGTCACTGTTGGTGATGAGGGGGCTGACACCCCCGTGGGAGACACACCGCTCATTGAGGATGAGCCTGAGAGCCTGGAAGGAGAAGGAGATCTCCAAGGGGGACGAATCCTGCTAGGTAAGAGTGGGACGTCTGGGAGTGGGGGGCTGGGAGGGTCCTCTGCCCCTTCTTTCTTCTTATCTTACCATTTGCCTGCCTGCCCATCTGTTTGCTAGGCCACGCCACAAAGTCATTCCCCTCTTCTCCCAGCAAGGGGGGTGCCTGTCCCAGTCGGGCCAAGATGTCAATGACAGGGGCCGGGAAGTCACCTCCCTCAGTCCAGAGCTTGGCCATGAGGTTGCTGAGTATGCCAGGGGCGGCCCAGGGGGCGGCAGCAACAGGGCCTGAACCCCCTCCAGCCACCACCAGTCCAGAGGGGCAGCCCAAGGTCCACCGAGCCAGGAAAACTATGTCCAAACCTGGAAATGGACAGGTGAGGATGAAGGCAGGGTGGGGGGAAATGAGAATAATGGACCATAAACCCCTGGTGGGCTTCTTTATAATTTAATTTCCGGCTTCTTCTGCTCCACTCACATATTTACATATTCACCAAGGACCTATCTTATGTCAAATAATGGAAGTTAACTTGTGAACTGGCACTGTTCCTGTCTTCTTGGAGTTTACCTTCTTGGGGGGAGAGGGGGTGTGGGGGGGTGTAGCATTTGAGAAGATTGATATTAAGGACTTAATTTTATAGTCTTAATTATTCCTATAGTAGAGACTGTAAAATAACTTCAAGCCACTCTTCCTTTTTACCTGGAAGCAAGCCCCCAGGGGATTATTTCCCTTTGAAAGCTGCCCCAGCTCCCATTTAAACTTTTATTTCTAATTCCTATGGGAAAGAATTTGAAGGCCACAGAAGTTGACATAGGAAGGGCCATGGAATAGGTGCTCTGGAATTCAGAAGTTTAAGACAGTTTTAAGGTCTTCTGTGGGTGTGGTTTTTGGCCACCTCTACAAAAGTGGTTTTTTTAAAATTGAGATTTCATTATAAGTTTATAAAGAACTTGGATTTCCATTCATTCTTTGTTGTACATTTCCTCCCTGCTCCCCCCACCCCAGTTTGCTTTTTTCTTTGGGGAAAAAAGTTCTTTTACTGTTATACATTCTGTCTGTCCTCGTGTGTGTGTGTGATACCAGTATACCTAATCATATATTTTATACAGATTGTTCAAACCTCATCTCTTTCAATGCCGTGTACATTATTTATCCCCTCATAGTTTTCCCCCAACCCCCCTGTCAGTCCAGTTTTTATAACAATGGCATTATACAGTATTTGTCTTTTTGTGACTGAGATATTTCACTCAGCATAATGTCCTCCATGGTTACCCATCTTATATAATATTTCATGAGTTGTTTTTCAGTGCTGCATAATATTCCATTGTGTGAACATGCCAACTTTTTACTATTGTGCACAAAGCATCAATAAACATTTTTTTTCTCAGTGTTGGAAATAGAAATACCATTTAACCCAGCAATTCCACTACTGGGAATATACCCTAAAGGAACCAGAACTGCCACCTAAGCTGATATATGTACAAAATTCCTTTGTCATATGTAGAGAGGAAAGAAAAGGTCTACTTTTGGGCAAGTGTAGAGATGAATGTTAGGACATGGAATATGCTTGAAGTCTTATTACGTTCCAGTTCCTGGACGTCCACATGGCCTTTTTTTTTTTGGTATTTATTTTTTAAAGATTCTTTTTTTATTATTTTTTAAATTTTTTTTAAATTTTTTATTATTTTTGTGTGGTGTACTGTCAAATCGAATCTGACTGGTACAGGAGGAAATTGTCCCTCCTTCCTCGGCAGAGCATCTGGTGGATTTGAACCACGCACCTCTGGGACACAATGGCCTTTTTGAGGGAGTGACTCACCCACACGCCTCCACCTGGGCCTCCAACCTATTCTGCAGAACTGAAGCTATTCCTTGATCTAAAGTTCTCCCTGTCTCCCTCAGCCCCCAGTCCCTGAGAAGCGGCCCCCTGAAGTGCAGCATTTCCGAATGAGTGATGACGTACACACTCTGGGGAAGATGACTTCAGGTCAGTTTCACTTCCTGCCCACCTGTGACCTGACACTTATCTTGAAGTTGTAGAGCAAAGGCCTCACCCCTTTCTCTCCTTCCAGAAATGGTCAAAAGGAGGAAGCTGAACTCAGGAGGTGGCCTGGTGAGCTAGGAAAGGCAGGGAGCAAAGCCTTTCCATCTAAGGGGGTGGAGGAGGCAGTTGTACCAAGGGTATCTTGGGTCCTGGAAGGAAGTGGCGGCTGATGAGGTAGACAAGTGAAGTTTTCATTTTTCTCATCTTTTTTAGTCAGAGGAGTTGAGTTCTACCCGGGGCTCAGAAATGACCCTGCAGAAAGGGGACCCTGGGTCCCTGGAAGAGTGGGAGACGGTGGTGGGAGATGACTTCAGTCTCTACTACGATTCCTACTCTGTGGACGAGCGTGTGGACTCTGACAGCAAGGTGAGGTCAGCAAGCCAGTGTTCCCCCAGCTCCAGCGCTTTCCTGCCTGTCCATTGATATTTATTGGTTGGTTGGATTTTTTTGGTTTTCATATCCCTTGTTCTGCAGTTCACCACCTCCCACATCTCCCAGCCCCACCAACACGTATATCTTCTGGATTTTTTTAAAGCAAACTTCAGATGCAGTATCATTCTATCTTCTTGTATTTTCTCAAGGAGCTCTAGTAGCCAGTGGGGAATTTCAGTGTTAACCAAAGATTACCATTCTGGTGGTTCAAGTTTACCCGCAGCTCTGAGATGAACAGGCTCTTCCTGTGTGATTTACAGAAAAGCCCCTGGAGGGTCAGCTGTGAGTTGGTTCTTGCTTAGTGAGTTTTGTGTATTTGCTTTTTTAATTTTTTCTATATAAATATATACTCATTCATTGCTGTCAAGCTCATTCTCTCTGGTGGGTTCAAATCGCCAGTGATACTCAGGCTTTGGGTTAGCTCACTACAGACTACAGCACCACACAAGTAAACACTTTTTACCTGTTAGGTGCTTATGAGAAAAGCCAGGTTAGTTGCTGCTCAGAAATTCACAGTTGCTGTTCAGAAATTCTTCGGTTAATAGTGGCTGGTTGGGGTGGATGGAGTCTTAAACATGTTTCTCTCTGCTGTTTTTTTCTGTTGGAAATTAAAAAATCAAAAGCGTAATCCGCTTCAGGGTTGTGTGTGCATGTGCACACACAGCAAGGAGACATAATAGTAGGTGCCAAGTGCTTCCAACTCTGTTAACAGAACATCAGATCCCCTCTTTATTTGTGACTGTCAAGATTAGACAGCAAGTTCAGGTGAAAACAGCCTGATCTATTGATTGTAATTTTTTTTTAATTGTAATTTGGGTGTAAAATTACAGAGTAAATTCACTTTCCATTCAACAAGTCATGCCCATTTTATTTCATACATAGGCACTCTTCCCATTTTGTCCCTGTTTACCAGTTTGATTCATCCCGTTTCCCTATTCATTTCTGCCTCCTGGTTTTTGTGCCTGGGCAAATGCTAAGTTTTTGGTGTCATATGCTAAAGTGTTCTAAGGAGTGTGTGCCTTTCTAATGCTGCTACTTGTTGTGTACTATCAAGTTAGTACTAACTCATAGTTGACCCTTGTACAGGTTTTTAGAGGCATTAAGTTATACAGAAGATTGCCTCTCTCTCTTCCACAGAGCAGCTGGTAGATTCAAACCGAGTTCCTTTAGGGTGGCAGTGCAACTCCTTACCATTAAGCAGCCAGAACTCTGATCTTCATGTTCTGTCAAATATGACTCATAGCAGCCCTATGAACAACAGGTCTGAACCTGTCCTATCCTGGGCCATCCTGATCATCTTCGACTGTTCTCCTATAGGCCTGTGTATTATTTGGTAGGTCATTGAGCCAAGCGATAAAAAGATGTCTAAAAGCCCTAGTCTTTTTTTATTGGGGCAAGTGTAAACATAATAAAGATTGTAGTCTCAAGGATTCCACCGGTTGTTGTTTGGTGCCGTCAAGTCGTAGCAACCCTATGAACAAACGGCCAGCCTGAGCACTATTTGTACATAGAGTTTCTGGAGGCAAGCCATTTCAGAAGTGGATGCGGCTCCTGCTTCCAGGCTTGATTTAGTCGGGAAGCTCCAGCCAACACTGTCCACCATGGGTACCCATTACCACGATTGGCACAGCACTGTCACAGTCTTCAACATCATAGCAACCACAAGTTACCTCTGTACAGCAACGCACAGACCAGTGCTACACCACCTAGAAGAATGTTTGACATCGGTATCTATCAGTAAACCTAGTCTTTTTATGGTTTTGTAGTGGTTTTCTTCTACTCTATCCAAGGCTCTTTTCCTGTGATCCTTTTCAGGGTGGTGACTGGTTTCACATTCATGAGGTAGCTGGCATTCATGTGTCCTATTGTTCCTTTGGACTAATTTGTTTCAGTCCTTGTTCTTGGTTTTTCTTTACTCTTCTTTGTTTTACACCTTAGATAACCATTCTCAAGCTTTCCAGACCTCAGACACTATTTACCAGAGAAAAATGTATACAGAAGTCCAGAGTGAAGGCTGTATAGTGGAGTGAGCTTGGGGGGAGGGATTGCATAACAATGAAAGAGTTTTTCTTTTCAAGGAGAAAAGTGATTTGGAGGGGACGGGGTGAGCAGGGAGAAAAGTGCAACAATGAATGACTGGAAATCCCAAGTCTTTGTAAACTTTCGTTAAAATTAATAAATTTTTATAAAAGGAAAAAATAATTTAAAAAAAAAGAATGTAGACTGTTTTTGGAAACCTCAGTAGACTTACCTGTTTTTGAACTGCAGAAAAGGAATCATACATCATATTTGTTTTCTGCCCTTCTTTACATCACCAAGACTCAAACACATTGTTACTTGTTAACTATAAAATGTAGCACCTTTTTCATTGTGCCTTTCTACTTATCCAGCCTTTTCTCCCCTTCCTGCTGACTCTTCCTTCCTCCAGATAGCTGCAATCCCTGGTTTTTATTGTTGTTCCTCTTTCTTGCTTCTGTCTCCTTGTCCAGTTCCTGGGGGGCTGGATCCATCCTACTCTGCCTCTCCCCTTCCCCAGTAGAGAGATGTGGCTGGGGAGCCATCCCCCAACCCATCTTGCCTCTCTTCCAGTCTGAAGTTGAAGCTCTTGCAGAACAACTGAGTGAAGAAGAGGAGGAAGAGGAAGAGGAGGAGGAGGAGGAAGAAGAAGAGGAAGAGGAGGAGGATGAAGAAGAAGAAGATGAAGAATCAGGCAATCAGTCAGACAAGGTAAAGGCCAGAGGCTGGTGTCCCCGCAGGATGTGGGCACTGCAGGGCTGGAGGCTGGGATCCCTAACTCCCCTCCCCATCCGCAGAGCGGCTCCAGTGGCCGGCGTAAGGCCAAGAAGAAATGGAGGAAGGATAGCCCATGGGTGAAGCCAACCCGAAAGCGACGGAAACGAGAGCCTCCTCGGGCCAAGGAGCCTCGAGGTGAGGGGGCTGCTCTGCTTCAGGGTCCCCTCCTCCAGCCCCCTCCCGGCCCCCAGAGAGCATGCACGTACACACACACGTTCTCGCATGTACACCTGCACGTACCCACACGCATGCACCTGTGAGCTCGCACTCTCACGCTCTCTGTCTCTGTGTCAGGAGTGAATGGTGTGGGCTCCTCAGGCCCCAGTGAGTACATGGAGGTCCCTCTGGGGTCCCTGGAGCTGCCCAGCGAGGGGACCCTCTCTCCCAACCACGCTGGTAATTGCCATTTGCTGGGACAAGGAGCCACTAGGGGGCACCCTTGGGGCTGGAGGGAAGGGGAGGAGGGAGACTCATCTGAGCCCGGCTGGGGCACGTAAGCTAGGCTTTGGGGGTTCTAAAGCTCGGAGGGGAGGTGGGGTCATAGTTGAGAGGACCTGTCAGGGGTCCTGGTAGGTGAGAGTAAGGCCTTCCTCAGCTCTTTACTTTATCTATCCAAGGGGTGTCCAATGACACATCTTCACTGGAGACAGAACGTGGGTTTGAGGAACTGCCTCTCTGCAGCTGCCGCATGGAAGCACCCAAGATTGACCGCATCAGTGAGAGGGCGGGACACAAGTGCATGGCCACAGAGAGTGTGGACGGAGAGGTAGGCCCCTGGGCTGCTAACAGAGGTGGCAGAGAGAGCTGGCCCTGAGGCCTGGCCTCACTGTCTCGCTGTGTGCCCTCACTGCCCACAGCTATCGGGCTGCAACATTGCAATCCTCAAGCGGGAGACCATGAGACCTTCTAGCCGCGTGGCCTTGATGGTGCTCTGCGAGACCCACCGTGCTCGCATGGTCAAGCATCACTGCTGCCCGGGATGTGGCTACTTCTGCACAGCGGTGAGTGACTAGCACAGCAGGCAGGCCCTCCTGGCCGGGGAAGGACTCGCAGGACCTGACCTCATTTTCACTGCCCCCCAGGGCACATTCCTGGAGTGCCACCCTGATTTCCGAGTGGCCCACCGCTTCCACAAGGCCTGTGTGTCCCAATTGAATGGAATGGTCTTCTGTCCTCACTGCGGGGAGGACGCCTCTGAGGCCCAGGAAGTGACCATACCCAGGGGGGATGGGATGACCCCACCAGCTGGCTCTGTGGCCCCTGCCCCTCCACCCCTGGCCCAGGATGCCCCTGGGAGAGCAGACACATCCCAGCCCAGGTACTGGTTTCCCCTTGTATGCTGTTCCTCCATTCTCTCTCCCTGTCACTCCAAGACATCATCACTTTCTCCCACAGTGCCCGGATGCGAGGGCATGGTGAGCCCCGGCGGCCCCCCTGTGAACCCTTGGCTGACACCATTGACAGCTCAGGGCCCTCTCTCACACTGCCCAATGGGGGCTGCCTCTCAGCTGTGGGGCTGCCCCCTGGGCCAGGCCGGGAAGCCCTAGAAAAAGCACTGGTCATCCAAGAGTCAGAGAGGTGAGCACGGCTTGGCCTGGGGCAGGAGAGTATGGGGCCTGCAGGTACAGAGACTGTGGCTCAGATCCTCCCTCACCCTGACAGGCGGAAGAAGCTTCGTTTCCATCCACGGCAGCTGTACCTGTCAGTGAAGCAGGGGGAGCTACAGAAGGTGATCCTGATGCTGTGTGAGTGTTCTTCCGCTCGATTGTTAAGCAAATGGTTATGAGTACTGAACTGTATAGCAGGCCCTGGATTCAGGACCAAGATGCAGTCCTTACCTTGAAGGATTTGGTGTAGTGGGGACAGTTCAGGTGACTCGGGATGTTGAGATGATGAAGGCCCATTGGTGCTGAGTGTTGTGAAGCATGCTTCACTACATTAGATCATGTTAGCAGAAGCACAAAGAGGGTAGGTACCTAACCTGAAGGCATGGTGGTACTAAAGGGCAGGCCTGGGATTTGAACCCAGGCGTTGCCAGAATTCTTCACCCCTCCACTCTAAAAAGTGCTGTCGTGGAGGAGGTAAGTTAAATACCAAAGATGCCCAGGAAGGGCCCCTGACCCCACATGGGCCCTGTGGAGATACCACCCACCCTGGCTTACTTACTTGTCACTCTTCTCTTGGTATGATGGGCTCCCACTGCAGTGGACAACCTCGACCCCAACTTCCAGACCGACCAGCAGAGCAAGCGCACGCCCCTACATGCAGCTGCCCAGAAGGGCTCCGTGGAGATCTGCCATGTGCTACTTCAGGTCAGCATTGCTGGCCCTCTGCCTGGGTGAGCTGGCCTTGGACCCCCTCCCCAGCATCACTCTTCCCTGATGCCAGCCCAAGTCCCACGTCCTTATAGGCTGGAGCCAACATCAATGCAGTAGACAAGCAGCAGCGGACACCGCTGATGGAGGCCGTAGTGAACAACCATCTGGAGTTGGCACGCTACATGGTGCAGCGAGGCGGCTGCGTCTACAGCAAGGTACAGGCAGAGAGTGGCCTTTGGGGGCAAGGGCTGGCCTGTGGTGCCAGGCCGAGTCTTCATCTGCCCATGTCTGCCCCAGGAGGAGGATGGCTCTACCTGCCTCCACCACGCAGCCAAGATTGGAAACCTGGAGATGGTTAGCCTGCTGCTCAGCACGGGACAGGTGGATGTCAATGCTCAGGTCTGTGGCCCCCAGGCTGCTGCTCATCCTGCTTCCTCTGGGTGCTTCAAGCTCTGGGCCCCGTTTCTTCTCTAACCTCTGACCCTTGCACTTTGATTCATGCTCTTCATATGTGTTGTTTCTTTCGTCTTCACATTTTTTTCTACTTGTTTTTAAAATAATGAGTTACTGCCTTGATTTTTGAAAGTGACTGATTATATTTTTTACCGACTCCCAGATTCTCACCTATTAGGAGTATTTCAATCTCTTACCAAACTAACTGCTATTATCTCGGACTCACAGTGACCCCTTGTGTGTTAGAGTAGAACTGCACCCTCTAAGGGTTGGCTTTTTTTTCCTTAGAAGAGATTTCCCCCTCTTTCTTCTAAGGCACCTCTAGGTAAACACCAGCCTCCAAACTTCTGGTTAGCGATTGAGTGCTTAACCATGTACACCTCCCAGGCATGCCTCTAGTCTGTCGGTATCATTCTTTTTGACCCTCAGCTTATCTTTGTCCCACAGCGGCCTTCAGGTAGCCTTTGACATGACTCACCAACTTGAGCAAGGTGTCTTCACTAACATAACATATCCTGCCCCAGACTCAGAACCTGCATATTTTTTTTCTTTTTTTTTAATTATTTAATTTTATTCATTTTAGTGAACATTTACAGAGATTTTGGGTTTTCATTCATTCATTGTTGCACTTTTTTCTCTACCCTCCTCCCCAGTTCGTCGTTCTTCCCCGCCAATGTCTGTTTTAATTGTCCAATTGCCACAGTGCTTGTCGAAGCCAGTTCTGATTAATCTCCTTTGTCAGTGTGTCCTTTGCCATTCCCTATCTCTCCTCCCTGAGAGAGACTTCACCCTGATTCATAAGGAAAAGGGGATGGCGTATTCTCTTAGCTACTTCCTGCTGAAAAGGGACGCTGTAGGTTTCAGGGTGAAGATCTTCTCTCACTACTCTAAAGGGCCCCTTTGGCAGTAGGAAACACATAGACTATTATGGAGATTGATTTTGGAATTTAGATTCACTGTTATCAATTGTGCTTAGCCATACATGTTCATACCCTTGAAGATGTATCATGGAAGTGTTGCAGCCTAGAAGATACAAATTTAACTAACAAAAGTACGTGAGTCAAAAATTAAAAAGCAATAATATTCCGAGTAGAAGAACTTGCATATTTCTAAAGCAGCTTTCTTTCCTTTAAAGGAGAGAACTCTTAGAGAATAGTCTATGTGTCTAAAAGTATCTGTTGATTCTAATTTATCAGTGTAACTCCTAGGAAATGGGTTGTTTTGTTACTGCTATTGGTTTGGGGTTTGGGCAGTATTTTTAGGAAGAGGAAAAATTATACATTTCTCTTAGTAATCATAGACAGTAGCAACTATGCATTTTATAGATGAGAAAGCCGAGGCCCAAAGAGGTTAAGTGACTTGCTCAAGGTCCCACAGCCTTTGAGTGGTCAGGCTTGGACTCAGCAGTATGGCTCTAGAGTACGTGCCCTTGACCATATGGCCTTGGCCTGCTCCTGATCCTCCTCCCTCTCTGCTCACCCACAGGACAGTGGCGGGTGGACACCCATCATCTGGGCTGCAGAGCACAAGCACATTGAGGTGATACGCATGCTGCTTACAAGGGGTGCTGATGTCACCCTCACCGACAATGTGAGTGGGAGTTTGGATTTGGGTGTGAAAGATGGGGGAGAAGCCTGAGCAAAGTGGAGGCTGGGTTCATGGGCTTGGCTGCCTGTGCCCATTCTTTCCCCATACTGCTGTCCAGGAGGAGAACATCTGCCTGCATTGGGCCTCCTACACTGGCAGTGCCGCCATCGCCGAGGTCCTCCTGAACGCCCGCTGTGACCTCCATGCTGTCAACTACCATGGTGACACACCTCTGCACATCGCAGCACGGGAGAGCTACCACGACTGTGTGCTGTGAGCTGCCTGGCTCCATTCTCCCAGCTTCCCATCCCTGCCCCTCCCATGCATACACCCCCACAAGCTCCCTGTTCCCTCCCCAGGTTGTTCTTGTCCCGGGGGGCAAATCCTGAGTTGCCGAACAAGGAAGGGGACACAGCATGTGACCTGACCCCTGAGCGTTCTGATGTGTGGTTTGCACTCCAGCTCAACCGCAAGCTTCGGCTTGGTGTGGGGAACCGGGCCATCCGCACTGAGAAGATCATCTGCCGGTGAGCCCAGGCCCCTGACTGTCAGGACATCCCAGACCTCACAGAATCCCCACAGCTCTCTGGCCTCTTCCTACTGGGCTTGCTGGGAGAGAACAGCTTAAAACAGTCCCATGTGCATTTATGACACATTTGCACTGGGAGATTGTTTTGTGTCTATCTGAAACTCAAGTTTAGCTAGTAGCTATCCCTCATGCCCCAGTAATCCTTAGCCCCACCTCCAGCCTTCCCCATGGCCCAGCCTCCCAGCCCCTGCTTTCGTCTGAGGAGCCAGTCACCCCAGCTATAATTGTTCCTCCTCCCCCTCTGCTTCCAGGGATGTAGCTCGAGGCTATGAGAACGTGCCCATTCCCTGTGTCAATGGTGTGGATGGGGAACCCTGTCCTGAAGATTACAAATACATCTCTGAGAACTGTGAGACATCTACCATGAACATCGACCGAAATATCACCCACCTCCAG